AGGCAGGTGTTGAATTCGTTATCGAGTCGTTGACACTTTAGCCATGTGACATTGACTACTAAAAATAAATATATTGCTTTCAGCATTATATACGTCACGTAACGTTTGACGTCACATACTAGTACAATAATTATTATATATAATTATATCTTACTCCTTCCCTAACTTTATCTTACATATTATTCTTACTTAATCGGTTTAATTACGTACGTTAGATGTAAACAATAATTTTGTCATAGTTTTGAATATAAATGAGTAGCGTATATTATATTTCTCACAAGTAATAAGAGCACTACATAATAAATAAATATATATTACGTATTTCTATTTTAGTGTTGGCAGTAAAAATAAAGCTATTATTCATTGCTCTATCAATAATACTTGTGATGTTACCAACTAGAATAGTCCAGTGATTTCATTTTATAAATGCAAATGCGATCATAAGCGTTATATGAAGCGCATTTATATTGTAAGCCCGTACGTTCGTCCAATATTTCGGTTATAGTAATAAAAATATATATATTTAAAACATGCACAACATATTACCTAGGTCACCTATGCATCTAAATTATATTAGATCTTTACTTTAACTGTTCGTCAGGTTGGCAACAATGTTCCTCATTTGTTAATTTCATAATATATCCTTGTATATTATAATGTTATATTTTATTTTACTAACATCAAAAATAATATTTATCTTTTACTCAGATAAAACCATTTTACGTTTTGAAATAAGATTTATTACAAATCAAAATCCTTTCAAGTTTTCAAACGGAATTACGTGATGAATAGAATAAAATATAGGTTAATTATAAATTATAAACTACTGTTTTATTCGTATTTTATTAATATGAAAATATCGTATTTTGTCGATACATACATCTTATCAAATGAGATAATAATATTATATCATATCAATACTTTACTGTAACTAAACTGTTCAATAGAATTATATAATATAAAGAGTTTTATTTAAAACATTAATATAATGTATTTTTTAATATGTATTAACACAATATCATCTTGAAAGGTGATATTGTGTACGTCTTTAAAATTACCTAGCTTACATGCTATGCTTAACAGTCTACAAGAATATACTGTTGTTGTTGGTGTAAGTCCTTGTAACGTCCCACTGCTGGACACGGGCCTCCCTCCAATACGCTCGGGCTACCTCCAATATACTAACGAATTAACCATTAAGTTTTATATCATAGGTTAATTTTACAATTATTATAATTCTTTTGTTGTTTTTGTACTTGGTCAATGACCTTATAATGTTGTAATAATGTTAAACTTTACAAGTTACCCAAAATTAATATAGGCAGAATAATTTTTAACCATTGCCTTTTAAGAATGAAGTAATAAAAAGTAGTATCGTATGTATTACTTGCCATGAATATAAATGAATTTCATTAGAATTAGGAAGCTTATTTGATTTGAAACTGATCAAGATTTACGCTTTATTAGAAGCTAATTGAATCTTAATGTGATTACAGATTGTTCAGTGACTCAAACTATTGTGTATCAAAGAGAAATCACTTTCGAATCTATCAAAGATCAGCTTTTGCAATAGTTTTTATATATAAATTTTAAGAATTATTTACATCGAATTCTGAAAGTAACGAAAGTTGAATGTTGTTTTTATATTATTTAACAAGTATAAATCATCAACCTCACAAGACCTGTGACTAATACAATAATGATAACGAATGACGAATGGAATCCCAGTCTGTATGACATACATTTTCTAATGACATTTGAAATATACACATACATAAGTATTATAATACTTGAAATATTCCTTACTTTGCTCGAAAATTCGTCTTATAATTATCACTATTAATTTAATGCCATTTAAATTAAAAATTATCGACGTAAAGAATATTTGGACTTTAAAAAAGAATATAATTTTTGTAAGTTTAATTAACATTCCAAGGCAGTTAAATCATCTTTCATAATAAGGTATATTTTGCCTATTGTAGTTGATCGCTTATTGTTTCTGTTTGATATAATTTTAATTAAATATGAAAATGTTTAAGAATTTTTTACGTTACAATTATAAACGTCTCTATTGGCCATTATTGTTTCAAGCATTTTGATATTATAAATAAATTAATTTTAAGTATTATACTTAGTTATAGATTACATACAAAAAAATTAAATGTACATTTAAAAATTATACTACTACTATAGTATATTTAATAATTTACAAGTTAAACTGTTATGGATTAAAACTACATATTAAGTCACAAGGTTGAGCCCAAACTCCAATATTTTAATAGTATCTATCGTCCATGTTCCATCATCAGATTTCTTTACAGAATACCTACTTACTCTTTCGAATCGATCCTACAGTTAGATACTTTAAACTACTGTTTAAAATCGACTTCCAAGATTTAATTGATTTATACCTAGTTACAAGCGAAGCCAATAAAAATGTGTTAAAAAGGAAGAAAATAATTAAAAATGAAATATTTATCGAATACTAAAAACCGTAATAAAATACTAACCGCTACAAACATTCAATCACCGTTTACTAAATAAGCGTAAAAAGTTGATGAAACTGTCACTAAAATTTTTCAATAATCAAGGACTGACCGACGGCTGTGCGGGCGTGTATTACGCACTAGGCATGCTTATATAACAAACCTTATCACTGTAGAATAGAGTTGAAAATCGCACTTAAAATTATCAAATACTTTGCGAGCATCAAGACTTTTATTTTAAAGTATTAAAGTCGAAATTGAAGTAAAACGTTTATTTTAAATAATCACAGCTGTTCGTGTGTATTCGGAGATCGTCGGCAATCTTCGTTCAGTCTTTGTTCCCGTTGGATCGTAATCGTTCGTTTCTTTTCCGACGAATGTAAACAAACTATTTTGTAATCTTGATTCTCGACTTGGCGTGATTGCGGCGGCAATAAATTCTCAAGTTATTGGTTACTTACTGTTAAATAGAATTAGTTTTGTTTAAAAATAATAGATGCCATTGATAGCAATTAACCCACTACTTATTAAGTATCTCTACCATTTCTGTATTTATAAAGAGACTATATTTTTGTCGAACACCTAAGTACATTGTCTCAATATGTAATATGGGACGTTGATTTATTAAAGGCTTTATATTTTTGATAATTCGAATTCAACTCTAACAGATAGATCTCTGTATCTATCTATTCCTATACTTGTATAATATGTAATAATATTGTTGTATTTAACATTTACATTTGATCATAATTATTTAATAGGATAATAGTGATCAATTAACTGTTATTATTACAAGTATATTGCAGCTTTATCGAATTTAACACTTGTCATTGAGTAACAAAACGAAACAACAAAAACAGAAATTAATTTATGAGCATATTATAGCAATGTATTAACTAAACTATACTAAAATACGTTAAAAAATCTACCTTTTTTTATATTATTGTAAAAATATTTAACGAGTCTATCATAGGTGGAGACGAGTCTATCATAGGTGGAGAGAACTTAGTACCTTCTTTGTATCTCGTACAATAAAAAAAGGTTTGCTCGGGATGAAGAGTAGAACGAGACTTAATATACACACTCGTATGTTCAATAGAGTCGTATATGTAATAGGTGAATTCGGATATTACATATTACATGATTAATATTATTAGCAAATACGATTCGATTATTCTACTGTAATATTATATAAGTATTTATGTTAACAAACTTCGACTCTTAACTTATATTAGTCATTTAAGTTGTAACAGTGTACTTAATGCCATGTTTTTGCCTTTAATGTATTTAATTATTGAGCTCATAATGCTTACGAGTGGGCTCATGATGTGAATCATCGATGTTTCTTTGTAGTAACTACCTGCTTGCAAAGCAGAGAATTCTTTTAACTCTACCGAAAAACGTAAGGGTCACGTATTGTAAAAAAGATCGATATTTTAAGTGAATATAAAATCTGAAATCTAGTAGCTACACTTATAATATTGTCACGTGTACACAGTTTGTTGAAAAACATTGAAAGATCAATGGCGCGCTGTTTGTCTCGGAATTTTCCAAACAAAACACTAGCCAGGAGAGGTCAAGATTTGAAAAATAGAATGTTAATACATACTTATTATTACTCAAATACTTACTTTGCTTAGGTCATTTTTGTATTTATAATATTATGTACAGATAGCGCCATCTTTTAGCAAATTTTATTATTAAGAGTAGCCTACGTGTGTATCTACAAACTTTGGCATTTATAATAGTAGCGTGATTTAAAATAGAAATAAATCAAAAAAATTAAAATAATTAATAGTAAAAATAAAATAGATTACGTTTCTTACTAAACCAGGTATTTACAGAGGTATTTCTTACTAAACCAATATAATATCTCCCATTATATGCCTATTAAAGTATCTGGTTTCTATAGTTATGTGTTACTTTCCAAACTTAAATCGAAACTATTCGTCCATCAGTGAAAGCTATTTGAGATATTGTTTAGCATTTAAAAAGTTATTATTTAATATCGATATGTATGTGCAATCTACCCTAAAGATAATATATATTCAAATTTAATTGTTATCTTCGGACGTCACAGCGACTACTTTGCGATAAGAGATAATCGGAAAAATAATGTTAAACTATCTATGTCCCGAGTTTAAAACTTTATCGGTCGTTGTCACCAAGTTTGTGGAGGTTTTTACGAAAAAGTATTTTAAAGTGATGCTTATGGATAAATATTATTTCTAAGATACTACGTAGGTAGGTTGTCATGTTTTGACATTTCATGACGTCACAGTGATATTTTTCACAACAATAGTTTTTAATCGGCCTTCTTCTTATAAAGTAATATTAAAAATAATTGTAGTGTCCTGTTGCAGGAATAGGATATTCCAAATGTCAGGTTAACATTTCGCACGTGCCCGCGCTCCGCTTTATTTAAATATAATGGAGTCTTGAGTCTTGAGCCATCATCTCTATTAAAAGCATCGATTTAACGAGCGGAATGAGATCGTACTACTGTCTGTAAATATGGGTCGGCTGGCGTGTTACAAACTTGTTCGTGCCGCGTCCCAAAGCAGGTAATAGGTGCCGAACCATAACCGTGAATAGATTGACAGACATTCCGTTACTTTATTTAACATTTTCAAATCGGACTCTATCTTTCTTCAGCACATTTTTTTTTTGAAACACAAATGAAGATAAATTGTTTAATTTGTTGAAGACTAGCGACCCACCCTCGCTTCGGTCGGGTTAGTCCCTAGGTTGAACGATCAGTATGGAATACAATACATATATATTGGAGAAATGATTGATTCCCCATACACACTAAACTTTCATTGATTTCCGGAACAAAAAGTATCCTATCGGATTTTTAGCTTCACCATTACAAACAAAGGTACAATTTTTTGTCTTTATAATATTAGTAAGTATAAATAAAAAAAAATATATTAATTCTTCTTAATAAGGATATCCTTAAAACGTCTAAACAACTATTATACATATTATATTATTAATTTTTAAGTGTCCCTGAATTTATTGCAAAAGTGACATATAACAATTAAAATTACGTAATCAAAAATGAGATCGCAATAGCCGAAATACGTATTGCAGAAACGATCTCTTGAGTCGAGGTGGTGTCGCGTGGCGGCGCGGAAGTACGGGGAACGGTGCGGCCTTGCGCGGCCGCGCGTCGAAGGTGAAAGTCTTGGCGTGCAATTATTGAGCCTCGGTCTAACATCCTCCTATATTCGGGTTAAATTGTACCATGAACTTGTTATGCATCCTTCTATTCATTAAATATTCTGTAGAAATAAACAAAAAAATATCAATGAACGAAGTTTTGCGCTTAAATTCTCATAATCATATGTTGAAATATGTATAATTTGTTACCAATTCGTAGAATTAATTCCGACTCCAGATATTATTATCGAGCATTCCCTAGATATTCTTAGAATCTCACAAGAGAACTTTCCAGTTAGTCCGTTTGCGTCTTCACGACTAAATTATTTGATCGGGTAACCTTCGTGAAACAAGTAATTGTAAATAATCGCAGTAATATGAAGTTTATTACAGCCCAGAGCGCGGTGCACCTTCACGCATGATTGGATATGGCGATTTGAGGGTCGAGCAGCTGCTTGTCACCCTGTTGGCTCACATTCAAATGAAAATCTATTGTAATGTGCAGGATAAATTAAAACCAAAGATATCAGAACGTCTTAATGTACTTATGAAATATGACAAAATGTGCCATTGTGAAAATAACATAATGCTCCAGGCAATATGGAGAAGCTAACATTTTTAAATACGCTGGCTTAAAAATGAAAAATAATATTACATGATATCTATGTATGTATGTACATCCATACATCCATACTTAATATTATAAATGTGAAAGTGTGTTTGTTTGTTTGTCTGTCTTTCTTTCACGTCTTAACAAAGTGAATGATCCGCGTGATTTTTTGTGTGGAGATAGTTGCGAGGATTGGAGAGTAACATAGGCTACATTTTACCGAGGTAGATTATATCATTCCCATGGAAAAACACGTTAAAATACAACCCAAAAAATTATTTATGATCAGAATTACTTGAAACTTCATATTAATGTTCTTCAATATAATTAAATAAATACGTGTTTTAGCATTTTTCGAAATTCATGCCATAAGGTGATAATATAGGGCATGAAAGTTTGTATGAAACCTACCTTTTCAACGATATTTTGAAGTTTTAGCGCGAGCAAAGCCGCGGGTTCTATTAGTAATACATAAATAAGCGTAGACAAAACAGTTCAAACCTTTTTTCCTCTGTTTGTCAACTGATTTTTTTCTTTTTTTTTGTTTAGTAGCTATTGACGAGCTTTAGTGTTATGAATAGAATTTTTTTGGAAACAGTTTACTGTTAGGGTTCCATATCTCAAAAGGTAAAACGGAACCCTTATAGGATCACTCCGTTGTCCGTCTGTCTGTCAATACCCTTTTTCTCAGGAACACGTGGAGGTTTAATATCAAATACTCAGGTCTGCAATCCCTTGGAGCTGTGAAAAAAAAACAAACTTCTAAGTCAACGCAATCAAAAGAAACGGCCGATTATGCCGCATATTTTCATGCTCGCAAGGGAATAAAAACTTATAGGGTAGATACTTCCCGTTGATCTAGAATCATGAAATTTGGCAAGAATTAGTAAAGTAAAAAGAAAAGTCTTATAGCACAAGTAAAGGGAAAAATCTGAAAACTGTCAATGTGTAGTTACGTGTAGTTGCATAGCAAATACAAATATGTGTTCATGCTACGGAACACTCGGTGTGCTAGTCAGGCTCGCACTTGTCTGATTTTTTTATTCAAATAGGTAAATTCTATTCATATAGGTACATTTTCCTCAATTTTTCAACAAAGATTATGGTTGAATATCGACAACTAAACTAACACTATTTATATTGTCATCCATGATACGATTAAAATATAGTAAATCAAAGAGTTATATAACTATAATATTTGTAATATATTTAAGAGATCCCAATTAGTATTTGAAAAGTTGTATCATTCTGTAAATATAATTAAATTTTTAGGAATGACAAAACTGTGACTTTGCTGTCGCAACAAGAGACAAAGGAATGCGTAGCGCCAAGATGAACTAATCTCGGTAACAAAGCTCTTAAATCAAAAATTTCGCTTCTCTTCCTAGCGTTTGCTACAACAAAGTCATTTTGTATAGAAAATTCGAATGAGAGTATGGGGTTTGAAGGATTTGCGTGCCTTTGTTCTCATTGCCTTTTGCATAGTTTTTTGTTGAAATCACAACATTTATCAAAATTAGATCTTCACGTTTTGAGCGTTATTTAAAAAAGCTCGATTAATATTTAAACGAGTCTAATTAGACGTGTATATTTAATAATTATTAAATATTCCTACTAAATAAACTAAGTCAAAACACTTTTTTTACTTTAAAAATATTAGAAAATTGACGACATATTGACCATCTGTTGTGTTATGTGTAAGCAATATTGGGAGGGATTAAATGATAAGACCTGTCTTCCTTGAAGCTTTACAGCGCGCAATGTTTCAAACTTTTATTTTGAATGAAACGAACAACAATTAATTATGTATTTAGGCGGTTCTACATTTTCTTTGTAGTGTTTTAGTATGTTTTGTTTCTATTTAAATAATAGATACAATTTTTGACTTATACATAATAATTTTACATCACTTTTTAATGCTCAAACTTGGCTTGGCTATAAGTATGTGTTTATTTAAAAGTTTTCCATAATTTATGTGTGCACAATTTTATAAAATTACTTTTTAAAATAATATATGATCTTTGTCTAAATTCTAGTTAGATTAGTGTTAAATGTTAATCGTTAATATCAGAATCCTGTTACAATTAGTGATGTAGTCATAGCCTTGAATATGAATTGAACAATCACGATCGCACATCACTCGTTCTAACTTGTTTCGGCTATTATCACATTATTATCAGAAATTAAAAAATTTACCAGTGTTTAAAAGTAATTAAATATCATAAATTGTTGCTAAATTATAAAATAGACAAACTAAACTTTTGGCAACTAGATGCCTCATTAAACTGGGTATGATGCAAAGGTCATAGCTATAAATAAAAATTAAAGGCGATAGATTACAAAATATAATGAGGTGTCTTCAAAGGGTCGTATAGCCCAACCCTTAACTTTCCTGCACGCCCTCTAGTCCGAGGAGTTTCTGAACGAAGCCGAGCAGCCATTACACGCGCGGACGGGTGGATGGCTCAGTTTGGCGCGCGAAGCCGAATCGTACACACGTAACGTTCGCTATGTGATTTGGACAAGTGTGAAGTTGATTGTTTCATGTGATACAGCTTGTTGGTTGGCATTATGTTTGAATTAAGCGCCTTTGTAAATAGTTAAGTGGACTTCACAAGTTTCGACTGGTTATTTTTTATTTTGGAGTGCTCTTTGTAATTAGTATCTAAGGTAATTTTTTTAATAACTTTTATAATTATTGTTTTTAATTATCTATTACTTTTGGCAATATTATATTTTTGTTTTGATTTTATTTTTTTAATATATGGACTTATGAAAAAAATATATTTTGGATATTTTTTAAAAATATTACTAATTAAATAAATTATTAGATTTTAAACTTAATTATTATTTCAGTTTGAAAAAGTTTTGTATCTTTAAATATGCCATAATTATGTCCTTACACCTACTCCTGACCTAAGCCCTTTAAAGTTTATATATTAGTTTAAATATCCAGCGCAAATGGATTGAGCTTCGAATGAGGTCATAAAATACTTTATAGTCCGTATGTACATCTCCTAAGGCGCTTTTAAACAAGATGTTTAACATCGATTTTTTTTACCCACTTTATCTCTTTGAAAGTTAATTGATAATCTTGTTTTTTTAAACCGCCACGTTTGTCATTTCTACCTGCACAATTATTGTTGAAAAAAGAATAGCGTTCTCTTTCACTCATAAGGGAAAATCGCATAGCGGCCTATTCTGAGATTATCAAAGTAGGAATTTTAAATCCATCAACGGTTCAAGGAAATATTTTTTGGCACGTTTTATACAAATATGAATGTTTTATATAAATTAAACGTATTTCAGGAATATTTAAAAAAATATTAATAGTATGAATACTAAAATAAAATTAATAAGTGATTTATTAAAATTAATGTACTACCTACATAACTAAAGATAAAAGAATATATAATGTAAATTTGCATTTATTACTTATAATTTTTAAGTATGTATAACACGGCGTTAAACATTGATCGAACTTCTCGACTTAAAATTTTAAAAGTGTATATTTAATTTAAATATATTGTTTAAATACTTATTAAAACATACAACCTTGAATTCACAGTTAAAATTTTGTTTTATAAGGAAATTGTTTTTTTCTATAGATTTTGTTCTTTGAAATTGTCGTCATTTTACTGTGTCTTCAACTTGATGGGAAAAAACCTCATTTACCTATATTAAAAGCTTCTAAGAAATTTAGTTTAAATAAAATATGATAAAAAACTGAGATATTAACAATTAATTATTATTAGTTATTCTTATGCTCATAAAATATTATAAACTGCTTAGGATCACTATGAATTGTCTAGTCATAGGTTTGCTCGCGCGTTTTAGTTTTAAGCATTATCAGTTAATTATTATTATGACCCCTGATTCTTTAGAAATCATACTTGAACGAGCTCAAACTGTAGCATTGAATCCATTACACAAATATCTTATCTGCACAGAATTTGCAATAATAATATCGTTCTACACGTATAATACAAAGTAAATAAAATGAATCTGCTCGAGCAAAATAAAAGCTGCCTTTTTGTTTATAAAAAAGTAAAAGTAGATACCTAAGTTTACTCCGTTTTACCAAAAACTTTCCTTAGACCTAATGTTATATTTCTATTAAGATATTATTATAGGTACAGATAACTGAGTCCGAGATATTCTTGCAAGTTTATTATTGTTTAATTATACTCCCAGATTGCTATGTAATTGACCACGCCTATCTCTCGCAAATCAAGGCCATTTTCTATTAAGTACTAGTAAATTTTATTATCTTTGCGTAGTCTTTTGGGTAACAAAGTACATATATCATCTGTATACAGAAAATTAATTGAAAAATACTGGACATGTATACCTACATGTACCTATAGCTAATTATCTTTCAAGTAACTTAATGAAGTATATTAGTAATACAAATATGACTAATGATGGCATGACGATAATCGAACCTACTCTCTATTATTTGCTGCGCTAGTATAATCCTTTAAAACAAAAATAATAACTTTCTGCGAAATGTACTAAAACTAATTATGCAATTACAATTTTTTTTATAATAATGAAAAAAAAAATGCATTAAGTCTTACAAAAGCTCTAGATGCTCTATTATATTTTGCTATACTTTGTACTTAATGTTGATTTTCCACTATAAATTAAGTAATATACGCAGTCAATAACTCTTGAGCGTCGACTGCGATGCCATTATCCGTGATTTATTTGCGTTGTGTTGTGTCCATTGTCTACTGTGGCCTATTAACTTTATACGTGCCTTTACAAAGCGAGCAAGGTATATCTAACATTATATGGTAATTCTGATTAGCCCTCGTAATAAATTACATGCTATTAGACGTAGTCATTGAAGACAGTTATGTTTTAACGGTAACAGCGTCCTGCTACAACAGACTGAACTTTGGTTGAGTGAAAATTGCAAAAGGCATACTAAAACCTTTAATTTATATGCAACTAGCAGAACCCGCGGCTTCGCTCGCCCTAAAACTACAGAAAAACTAAAAATGTAGGTTTCATACAAACTTTCATCTCCTATTTTACCCTCTTATGGATGAATTTTTAAAAATGCAAAAACATATCTTTATTTAATTGTATTGTAGAGCATTAATACCAAGTTTCAAGTAATTCTGAACATAAATATTTTTTGGGTTGTATTATAACGTATTTTCCCGTGACAATGAGATAATCTCCCGCGGCAAAAAGTGGCCTATGTCACCCTCCACCCCCCCAACTATGTCCACACAAAAAATCAGGCCAATCCGTCAATCCGTTTCGACGTGAAAGAAGCACAAACAAACAAACACACTTTCACATTTATAATATTAGTATGGAAGTATGTTTTTTTTAATTACGAAGGATTTACTTCTTTAGCGTGTACTTGTCAATGTGAACTGCTATGCAAGTATCAGTTCTGTTTTTATTGCATAAGATTTTATAATTTATTAATAGTTAAGCAAGTTTAGCTTCCTTGCGAATTCATTTGCTTTAAACAAACAAATAACGGTTTGCTCTCAACAACCCAAAAAGGAAAGGACGATGTAACGATAGAAAGTTTAATACCAATCACTTAAACGTACTGAATATATAAAATATAAATAAAAATAGATGGCGTCATGTCGAAATGTTAACAGATTTTTCTTACAACAATATACGGATTAACTCATACTTGACAGTATAGTACAAATATTAAGTTATAAACAAGGAAAAATCAAAAAAACCGATAAGTAAAAATATATAACGTCTAGGGAATTAAAACTGTCTCACCCACAACCACTTCAGAGTTCAGACCAATTAATCGTAGAAAATAATCTGAATATTGTTACAATATTTATTTATGAAATGTAATTAGTTAACTTGACGTTATTTATTTATATTATTACGTATAAAAAGTCGACTTAAATTATTATATTGTTTAAGATGAATAGAAAAATAAAAATTTTAATTTTAGTGAAGCAAATTAGTTTTTCCAACAAAAATTAATTGTAAAACGAAAAAAATCGATAAACCGATTTATCTACGAATGACTACAATTTAAAAAAAATGGAAAGGGCATAAGTGGGTGTTATCCATTTTTATAATGTCTATGTTTGATGACATTAACTTATACTAAGAGGCTCTAGCATGAGCAACTAGCAATGTGGGAGTTACCTCTGCCCTTTTTATACATATAGGTAAAAGAACATGTTCCATTTGATAAACTTTTATATTTTATCGATGATTTTTTATAGCAGCTAGAATAAATGAATAATACTACTAGTACTATTAGACAATAAAATTAGAAACGTAGGCTTAATGTTTTTACCTAGACACTTATAGAGACTATATCAAAATATTACATTTACCGTAATAAATCTAACAACGCAGTGTTTTTATTTTCCTATAAATCTTCAAAGATTCCTTTGAAATTATATTTTTACGAACTTAGGATATTGCTGTTCGCAGTACTGTTTCACGCCTACATTCCACAATCAATCACATGTGAGACCTCTTTAAAGAATGCCCCACTAACTACATCATAAGGCCTTGAGGGTTGAAGTGCTGAGCTACATCGCCTTTATTCTAAAATTAGATTTATAAACACAAAGAGATTCAATATATTCGATGTGGAGGTGTTTTAATTGCATTTGTAAAACTCCAAAATTTCTTACTTTTCGGCACACATTGTAATTAAAAAGGTGAAGGATTGGATATTTAATTTAATTATAAAACTAATAACACCTTCAGCCTAATCTTATTAATATTTGGTCATAACTTTTTTCTCGAATGATTGGATTCGGAAGCCGTTGTCGAATGAAAACCGATAACTGAGTATACGCCATTTCCATTCGACAAAATTCGGACGCGAGGGTCGCTCGGTCGTTGTACTGTTGAAAACCAGAACAATCTGAACGAATAACGCTCCTGACTCAATATATTTAATACTAACAGATGCTCGCAATTTGTGCATTATAATTTTATACTATACATATTACAAGAAACTACATATGTAAATAATGATGAAAGACATGTATATCTTGAAATGGTGTCCCATCCTTATTAGTATAAATGCAAAAGTTAGCGTTTTCTGACAATTAATAAACATGATATTTTCCATAGAGACAGTATGTAGAGTGTTATAAGCTTCTTTTTATCCCGTTACATCAAGTAGGTTTCGAGGGATATTAATCTTTAACAAAAACTTGTTCAGGGACGCGCTTTAACGAAGCGAGTACGGATAACTACTACAATATAAAAATAGTTTGCTAAAAATGTAAAAGTAAAAACTCATATTATAATTTCAATTTAATACAAGCAACAAAAAAAATGAAATATTTGGTTGTACAAACAACATAATTACATAACCTATAACAAAGATGTTACCAGAGATGATCTAAGTTTGTTACATTAACTAGATCCTTCATATAGTCGACATTTATCGGTTAGATCTTTCGGTATGTCATTTGGTTTCATGCTAGCACGCGTGTGAGACAGAGAAAAGAAAGTGCAGGTAGTGGGTAACCTCGAGGCGAATGGAGCAAGATTTATTAGATCGTAACTGTAGGGGTCGCCAACACGCGGCTGACTGTCGCGCTTTCGTCTCAAAAAAGTAAAAACGACTCGTCTTTTAGAATACATTTTAGTCACTGTATAAGCTTTGTCATTCATTGAATTTTAAACTCGGATCATTGTTTTGACACTATTTAACACTCACAGTTGTTATTTAATTTATTTTCTTAGACTTACTCTTAAGGCTCAGGTGGTTTTAGAGTTAAGTCGCTAAATTTTCTACTTAAATAACCATGCTTATTTGGAAAAGCTTAAAAATCATGTAAGAGTTAAAATATGTAACTTGTATTTTCTACGGAGAATTTCACACAATGGTCTCAATATTTTCTTGTCGTAACTTGTCTTTGGTGTTTATTTTTCCATTACGAATTAATGGGTTTTACTATTGCTCATTACAATGATTATTGAGATTATGGGTTCTTCGCTGAAATATCGAAATCACTATGATTAATTATTTTGTTTTTATTAAACCAATGATTGTTTTTCACATTTACTATGTACTTAATTATATAAATAAATGTTACACGAAAATAGACTCATTAAACTAAGTTGAATTTATTTATTTATTTGATTTATTCATTGTTATTGTAATCTGTATAACTTATGAATATGTTGCACTATTCTTAGATTATTTATAATTATTATTTTTCCATATAATTACTTTTTTACTTCATAATGAACTTAGTTATATTTGTAGGTACTTATAACAACTCTTCCTCACACGAAAACTTTAGTTTTAACACCGCACTAATGATTAGCCTAATAATAATCTCACTTCGTTAACGATTTCATCAAGACGATTAAATTGTAAGTTGTACAACTGAATTCTATCAATAGGTACTTAAACTGAATCCGGTTTCTTCTATTTGAGGATACTAGAAGTATATTATTTGAATAGATAAAAGTAAACCTTTTGGGGAATCTTTGCAGTCCGCTGCTTCTGATGGAGATAAAGTGATTAGTTCGTGGCTGGAAGCTTTTGTGTCGTAAACAAATAGAACGAGTCATGACAGTCAATAGTGTCTAAATGACGGTTTATAGTCTACGTCACCCGTTTCCTCTCAGCACGTACGTAGCCGTACACGGGTGACGCAATTGGCTTTTTCAATGTCTTATCTACAGTGAGGTATACTGTCATTCGCCGAGTGATCGTTGAGCTGCGCACGCGCGCCGCTCTCGCGCGATTTAATTTTGTTTCACTTGTTGTATTGCCTCTATACTTGCTTACCGTCGAGGACGAGTGACGAATTGCGCTCTTTCAGTGCTAGTGTTTTGAACTTTTTGTTATATTTGTCGTGCTACCGATTATAAATTATTTCACTATTCGCGATGTTTATGTCGGGATTTTTTATTCTATCATCTGATATATCAACTAGGTAGGTATTTATAAAAATAATTGTAGGTCACATATTATATTTAAAACCTGTTGATTTCGTTCCTTGCTCTCTTTATATGATATGATTACAATTGTGGACGGATTATATCAAGTGTGAATCTTATTGGCCCGTTTAGGCATCGAGGCATTGTTCTTTGACCTAGTACTTGCGTCGGCTCAGTTTATTATTAAATGGTATGCGTTCCGCGATACGTTAATAAACATTTATGGATACGACAACTTTTACATTTTTAACGCCTTGATTTCAAGTTCGGTTAATGACATTTCTAATTAATAGCTCTTTATTTAATATTACATAAATACATATTAAGTATTGTCGCATTTACAGTTCTGTCAGGATTTAAATCCATACAATAAATAATAAGTAAATGCATATAATAAATATTTAATTTAACTATTCATTGTTACAGAATGACACCTCAAGAAGAGAGGGAGAGTTCTCGGGGGGCAGAGATTGCGGATGCCTTTGAGGACGACATGTTTGGCCCGCCGCGCACCGAGCCGGCTGCCAGGCCCAAGCTCTCTATGATCTCCGCCCGACTCCGCGCTAATGAAGAACGCAAACGAGTCATCGAAATTTGCTCACAAAAACTAGAAAACATTGAGGATCCTGCGCGAGATTTACGTCGTTCAGTTTGCATAAACAATACGTACTGTCGTCTAAGTGAAGAGGCACGCAAGGAGAAAGAAGCTAGGAGGCGGCGTGCGAGAGAGGAATGTGATGACTCGTGGATAGGGAAGAAAGCTCGCCGCGCCGTCGAGGACGAGTGCCTCGCGCTGTTAGACGCCATACCGGAACTAGGTGACGCGAACCTCGGTTGTGCGCAGTTAGCGCGACAGATGCAGGACGGCTCCCGGCAGGACGTGCTGCTGCCACCTGGGCTTCTCACGGTGCTCGACTCATGACCGCGCCGCACTGCGCACGTACACTCTTCGCTGTGATGCCAGCGCCCCGAGTAAACTACTCGCGAGCCGAAGGCGCTCGAGTCGCTGACCGAGTTACCGGACGCGTTTTGAACAAACTCGCCCGTGTGCCCGGTGTGTTCCGGATCGCGGTCGAGCGCACCTCGCAACTTACCGCTGGACATCATTGATAGAATTCTCGTTACCCCGAAACGGACAGTTGACGTTTAGCCAATTCTTTGTTATTTAAGAAAAGTACTTACTTTGTTAGCGTGTTTTTATTATTTAGTGAAAGTTGCTCAGGTGCTGGCTGGCGCGGTCTAGTTAGTGTAAGACCAGCACTTCTTTTATCGGGCCCGCAGCATGCTTATCATCTAAAACGTCGCATCGGTTCAAGCCAGGAGATAAAGTGAGGACGTTCAACGGTTACATTGGAGTTCTAGATTTAAGCCATAATTATTATTGCATTATTGTACTATAATTAATTAATTGAATTCGTGATTAAGGTATAGTGCAAAATAACTGGGAACGGTTGCGTGCAGTTATAAATTTGGCCAGCGTTTAGGTTAATTTTATACTTATTTCTCAAAAAAAAATGTACACGTTCGAGTTCTACAACACAGATTAGAAATAATCTTATACTACAACAGTATTTCGCATCCGATAAAATTTGAAAGTAAAAGCCAAGTGCAATCCGCCGCGCTGTGATGAGTGAGCGAGATGGCGCACTTATTAAGAAATACTCTGTGTATTGTGGGCAATCGAATGTTACGTATTATCGTATTATATGCCCGTAACAAAAGAAAAAACCTTATAAGTGATGACGTGTGGTCGTCGACACTCGACAACAGATGAGCGTATGTGACCTTACTCGCGTAGATCGGCAAGGCCAAGTGTTGGCCCAACTACCCAACATTGGCCCAAATGTGCATTTTAATAAGTCTGATTTTTGAGTTCGACTGTTATACAGCGATATCAATTTATGTTTAATTTGTATATTTTGTTTTATGTTACCTTATCTGACAATTTACGCTTTGTTACCATTATGATTTATAATCGGTTTAATATGCGATCATTACGTACTTATCGTTACTTAGCAAATACATTTTAAGTGTGTTGTGACATTGTTAATTTATTTTATACGAATGATTTAGTCGGAAATGTATCGATGTATCGGAGTGGAGTGGACTAGGTTGTGCAATTAGTTTGGATACGTTGTGCAATGAAATGAGTTTGAAATATTTTATTGAAATCTTAATTGTCGTGAAATATACTTATTGGTAGTAGCCCGTTTCGCCCCTTCTGAATAGTAAATAGGTACCTGAAGGGGGCAGGGGCTGCGGTAGTGGGGTGGGGGGCGAAGGGGTGGGAAGGCGGCGCACCGTTCCCAGTACCTCCTGTGATATTAGCCTAGCCTGTATGTCGTATTTGTATTTTGTGCTAGTTTCCCCATCCGATTTTTTTTTTGAATTAACGCTATGTATAAAGAAAACGCTTAGTAAAATTGTTTCCTTTTCTATATCAGCCATTTTATACGGATTAACCGGTTTTTCGAGTCATGTACCCGACGGTAGTACCTTTAGATGTTTTTGTTTTTTTTTGTATGGAGTTTGTATGTTGATAAGGATTGTGTATTATAAAATTAAGTGCTTGTATATCTTTGCCGCCGGATTATGCCGGAACTTGATTTCAACTAATAAATTTATACGGGACATACAACATCGTTCAAAAAAGTTAAATCTTTGTAGCAAAATTCCTAACGATATGGCATCTTTTTCACAACAAATCTATTATGATAGAGTAGGCCAAATATAGAGCCAGCGTGCTATCAAACTGCCTTCTTCAATACGTGTCCCAGATCATGTTCACTAGTTGTTATATCAGAAACCAAATGTATTTTTAAAATTCTATTGTAAAACGCACATTTTGTATGTATGTATTATGAGTAGATTTTTATTATTTCACAATTTACAAGGCAAAGATATTGTCGATTAAATGATTAACTGTTTTATAGTTTAAATATCGCCTTTTTATGCCTAGCTATAATTTCAAATAAACTTCGTTATTTGCGTATACTTAGTATTGTTTTTGTTTAGAATAGAAATTATTTTTGACCAATGTTTTTAAATGAATAATGGGAAACAATTTGTTTACAAATGTAATAAAAACAAATATAATAAAAATCTTAGTCACAATTACGTTAATTGTTTTTGTTAAACGTCCTAAAGTAATTACAACACGTTGCTTTAGTTTAAATGCTAGTGAAGAACAAATTCAAATGATTAACTATAGCATCAGGGCTGGATCATTATTTCACTATATTTGATAATTTATTTTATCCTTATACATTTTGTGGGAAAACCTCCGAAGATGACTAAGACAAACTATTACACTTCGTTACTTTAAAAATTAGTCATCCAATACCAATTAATTCCCGATTACAGTTATAATTTGTCTTAATAAATTAACTAGCATTTTTGCAAAAGTAATAAATCAATATCAATACACATATAAAAAATCAATATGTTATCTTTTTTTTTATTTAATACTTTCTTAGATTTACGCGAATATTTGACGAATTTTTTTTTTATTATAAAACTGACTAAATATATCCACATAAATAAATCCTTACTGAATAATAATGGAAGAATTAAAAAATATTTTGTAATGAATTACTTAAAAAATGAAATTATTTACATAATATTGTCTTTTATTGGTAAAAAACAACACATTAGTAATTTGTAGAATTATAATATGTATGTTTAATCTGTAACATTCCCGCGTCATTACAGCGCTACATCTACCATATTATCGGAGGTTAATGAGCCGGCTTAGAAGTGAAGGAATTAAACGCATTTTAAACTCGTTAGCAAACAAACACTGCTAGCCTGAAGCGGGCTATTTTAGAAACTAACGTGTTATCGTATTGTAAACGTAAAATTACTTACTGTAATAATAGAATTTTATATTGTGAACATGAGTGGTTTAAAGCGTATTTTTGTTTTGTAGATTTCTTGATAACATACTTTAGTAAATATGTTGGATATTCATTAATAATAATCATTTAATTTTGAACAAAAAAATAATAATACAATTACATCAAAATCACTTCAATAATAATTATTTTACCCTTCGAGGTGGATTTTCTCTCCATATTTATGTGGGACCACCCATGATGTATATTATATATAACCTACACATTTAAAAAGATCAACACGATTGAGTTTCTTTTTCTTAAAGCAAATCAAAAAATTAAAACACTACCTAGCAAACTCAATTGTATGATTGTAGAATATACATGAAATAGCAAATGGGATGTGATGAGCTATAAAATAAAATTATCAATTATTTAAATTTTGTTTCATTAATATTATAGACAGACCGAGAAATAACATTCAAATCCAACAGATAGGTAATTAAATACATATAATGAAGTTCTATCTCCATATGGTTCTATAAGATATTTGAAAATTGTTAATTCCTACATAGATGGTTACATACCATTTCATAGCTAAGATTAAGATTCCTAAAGAAAAAAATTCGACAAGTAGTTGTCGTACTATTATTTTTAGATGTATCATTCCGGGATTATGTTTAACAGCGGGCGTAAAGAGGCGATGTGAACAGTTTAAAATAATAAATATAAGTGTTTTGTAAATGTTATAATTATATTATTGATATGTGATTAGCTGCTATTTTATAAATGTTTCCTGTCTTAAGCTAAGATATGGTCATTAAATAAAAATAAATTAAAACTATCAAAGTTTATTTTTTCCATTTAGCTACTTGTTTACGTTAAAATATATGTATTATGATGAATAATTGAATGATTTCAATTAAAAACAGAGGGTGTTTCTAGACGAAATACGTTTGTGCTTTACTACAATTAAAATAAGCTTGTTGCTCAAATTAAAACAAAATCTCGATGAAGGCTAAGATCTATATTCATGTGACATTACTTCTGTATCGGAAGAATTAAACCTTGGACCTCCAGCGTAGTGAGCAATTTTAATTATATTAAAGAGTATTTATTACATAAAGCTAAAAGTAATGAAAATATATAAACTAGCAGTTCTAAAGGGTGTGGATGGAAAAAATATATCTATTGACAAATTGATTAAATTTGATTCTGGACAGAAGCTTATTACACTAAATATTATTAAAAATGTGCTGTGTGACAAACACCGAGGTGCCTAATTTCAAATGGCACCAATAAATAAACCCTATTTTTAATATATGTATATATAACATAAATATGGCATAAAAATATATGTACAATGCATTATTTAAGGCTGACTATCCACACAATTGCAATCGTGGAGTAAAATATAATATACCAAGTTTCAAATAGATAATTCCCTAATGCATGACCTAGATAGACTATAAATAAAATAAAGTACATCTAATTTATCAAATTGGGTCATTCTGTTAGTTTGAATAGTTATATAAATAAGTCCTATTATAAATTTTCTTTGAAATTACACAAAAAGATACTTAACTCTTTTAATACTCGCTAGGTGTTATGTAAACAACCAGTCTAGATAGTGCAACCGCTGAGAATTCCTCCAATACAACCACGTAACGCCTTATACAAACAAATGCGAAATGTTACATTTTAAAGCTATGACATCACTGTCATCATTGTGATAAACTGATATATTGGGCCTACTGTTTCGGGAATTAGATTTAGTTATTTTTGAGTGTTTAAGAGGCCTATTACATTATGACCGTGATTTTTCAATTTAATGTCCATATTTGACGTTTCTATTCAGAGAAACTGAAACTCTTCGACAATTTTGACTTATTTTATGGTGGAGAATAATTATTAATATAGTTCATAGCGGCCTCGCTTTTCGCAAATTTTCGTTATTAATTGAAATAAAGCCAGAATTCAGAAGCAAGTTTTTAATAAAATGCGCCACGACACTTTTTCAAGCTTATGGATTGAAATACTATACTAAGCAAACGAAATGAGAAATATATAATAATATCTCTTTATA